GAGAATAAGATTCAGTTTTGCATATTTGGAATTTGAGGAAACTGTGAAGATATGCATTTAAATACAGGGCATGGGAAGTACAGGAGCCCATCCCTGCACTGTCTCAAAAGAGTTGTCTGATCTTGGACATGCTTTTCCAGGTTCTATGTTTCTCTGACGTTCAGACAAACTCTGAAGTCTAAAATCTGTGATGGACCCTGCAGAACTTTAAGTCTCTACATCCAGACAGGAAGCTACTCATAAAAGTATCAATGGGGCCGGGGCGCGGTGGCTCACGCCTGTAATCCTAGCACTTTGGGAGGCCGAGGCGGGCGGATCGCTCAAGGTCAGGAGTTCGAAACCAGCCTGAGCGAGACCCCGTCTCTACCAAAAATAGAAAGAAATTAATTGACCAACTAAAAATATATATACAAAAAATTAGCTGGGCATGGTGGCGCATGCCTGTAGTCCCAGCTACTCGGGAGGCTGAGGCAGTAGGATCGCTGAGCCCAGGAGATTGAGGTTGCTGTGAGCCAGGCTGACTCCACAGCACTCACTCTAGCCTGGGCAACAAAGTGAGACTCTGTCTCAAAAAAAAAAAAAGTATCAATGGATTATTGGTGAAATCTAATGAGCATTCCTGACTATATCTTCTCTGGCAAAGGAGATGGGTATTATGAAACAAAGTAGGTAGAAGACAATAGCCGTTTAGCACTTGTTCCTACTTGCTGTTCAGAGTTCAAGGCCAATAGCTCTTCCCTCTGCCCAAGGGGCACACTAAATACCTTGTTAAGAGACTCAAGGGTTTATGTCATACAAAACCAAACCTAATTTTGCAACGCATTTGATGAGAAAGTATTAATACAGAATAGAAGTCTAACTGCCTTCTAATAAGAAGATCTTTTTATCTATAAATGGGGAACCACAGACTCTTAGGGGTTCAAATCAACCCCAAATGAGATTCCTGTAAAGGAAGGAATGGTAGTTTACCACAAGATCAACATGGGAATAAAAAAAAATAACCCTCACCATTTCAGGTTAAACTATGATGGTTAAACACTAAGATAAAGCAAATGTTCAGACATCTGACAGATACAATGAGGAATGATTCCACCATCCCTTCCAATAGGCACAAAAGGCCTCAGATCAACAATATGAAACAGAAGCATATCATGGGGTAGGCACTATTTGATGATTGAGCACAATTTTGCACAGAAACAACAAATCCAAATAATCAACAACAGAAATAACTTCTTTATTTACAGTTTACTCTTCAAATGATTAAAATGTGTATAAGAGAAAGAAACCTTTAAAAGTTTTTAATGAATTAAAAACAAATAAGCACATCTACATATGTTAAAAAAAAACAAAAAACTCAAGCACTTTAAAATGACAGGTGGGAAGCCTGAGCCAAAGTATCTATTTGTATGGCTATAAAATTTTAATACTAATTAGCTGGGTGCTAAGGCATGTGCTTGTATTCCCAGCTACTTGGGAGGCTGAGACAGGCTTAGATCACTTGAGCCCAGGAGTTTGGGTCCAGCCCGGGCAACACAGTGAGACTTCATCTCCAAAAAATAAAGAAATAAAAATTAATTCTAAAAAATGCCTTTGACAACCAAAGTCCACATATCTATGGGACGCTTTGGAAGCCAATGGGGAATTCTACTGCCAGGTGGCTCACTCTCATTCTAAAGAGTGCCAGGGACCTGGAGTATTTCTGCATCCAAATTCATATTAAAGACTATGGCAATAAAACTCTTCGGAACTTTAGGAGGTTGTTTTGTCTCAAAGTTGCTATACTGGACAAAGAAAGGAAAATACATTTTGAAAACTGAATATAACTAAAGGTTTCACCAAAATCAAGGCAAATTGTCTCTTTTATGACCAGATTTCTAATAAAAGAGATACAGAGGCATGTGGAAACATTTCATTTAAAAGACAGAAGAAACAGAAGTACCTACAATTGGTATCAATGGCTGGGATAAAACTTGGTTCCCGGTTCCCTTTCTTACATTTTTATAGTATCTGCTCTCTGTACTATTCACCAGCCAGGTATATTACCTGACTAGCCTATAAGTTCCTCGGTCTTCGGTGTCTTAAGGAGCCCCTTGTGTTGAGACCTCACCCAGCTGACAAGTGCTTAACTGATGACAAAGATGGATGGTGCACTTTTGATAACCTGGTAGGAAACACCAGAAATGTCCCCTTTTCCTTCAAATCAGATATCTACAAGCTTTAGACATTTCAAACATTTGTATAAGTAACCACTGCACTCAAGGGAATAGGGCTTCAACTTATAAAGCAAGACAGATGAATTAAAATATAATTTTTGGGGAAATGGCCTTATAGTAAAATGCATGAAAATGGCAAGTTGATTTAAGTTACTTAACAACTGTTAAAGGAACCATTAGGCATTAAATAACAACAACAACAAAAAAAAACACAAGCCATTGAAGATGGATTATAAAATTAAAAAATCTACAGATAATATTAATATTCTTGGTTGAGAGGGACAATGCTTTTCATTTTATTCATTTTTCAAGAAAAAATGATTAATGCAGTCCAATTCCAATATAGGTAACTTGGAAGTTTTATTTAAAAATTATACTCATTAAGATAAAAGCCACAAGCACCCAGAAAGCTGACAGATACTAATGCATCTAAAAACCAATTTAATGGAAAACTGTAGTTTATGATAAACCTAACTATAAATAAATTGCACCCACTCCATAAGACTAAGGGAATGCCTGACATGCAGAACATATGTAATACATATCTGCTGAATTAATGAATAGATCAATATATTCAGATGTGTCATGCTACCCTTTTCTTTTATTATTATTATTTTTATTTTTTTAGCGTATTATGGGGGTACAAGTGTTAAGGTTACACATATTGCCCATGCCCCCCTCCCCCCTTGAGTAAGAGCTTCAAGTGTGTTCATCCCCCAAATGTTGCACCAGCTTTTAACCTTTGTTTTTCTATAAATACCTTATAAAGAGAAAAAATGGCATTAAAAACTTATAATTTTATAACTTATGATCCCTCCTCAATATATCACGAAAGTGATAGCACTTGGATTGCTTCAGTGAATCCTAAGGAATTTTTTCCCTTACAATTTAAAAGCATAGACTGTATAGAGTATCTTAACAGCATATGGCCAAGTTTGTGTGATCATCTGAGAATAATTCAGTTTCATAAAAAATGCAAATTTCACAGTTGCACATTAATTCATGCCAACCCTGTTCTCAGGACAATCACCAGGGACCTCCCACACAAAATCAATATGCATACATCTATTTAACTTTTATCACTGGCTCACTAAGTAAATATCACACTATAGACCACTTAGGTATTCATTATTCAGGCAAATAGCAAACGTAAAACGCAGGCTGGTAGTGTCAAGTCATTAACAAATCAATCGATAACGGTTCCCTGTTTTAGTCTACCAAATGAGGGCAAAAATGTGCAACATCTGGAGAGCAAACTGTTAATCTGCCACCGAGGTGCAATCTGTTGACGGCAGAGGATTCCATATTTACGCTAACTCTGAGAAAACATCTCAAAGAAACCTTAAGTTGTATTATGTCTTCTCAGGCTTCAATAAGCATTAAAACAGATTCATCCATTGACATTATTCCTTAGACACCAAAAGGCCTGAAATCCCCAAGGATCGCACTGGGAGCCGCCATTCTTTTGTTCCAATGTCTAAGACTGAGGCAGAACTCAAAAACATTTGAGTGCATTACATGATGAGGAGAAAATGGTTCAATCTTCAAAACTCCCATTTTAAGATATTTTAAGCAAGATTTTTAGCATGTTTATAGGGACCACGTGTATTCAGAAGCAGCTAATCCAGGGCCAGAATGGCCAAGAATGGCCCCCACTTTTGCAAAGAACTCATGTTTAAGTGTGAGCCCTGTTTAAATCCACATTCATGTTGCCAAGCCCCTGAGAATATCATCTTTTGTACATTAATTTCAGGATGATCGCTACTCCTGTCTGTCTCAGGTTACAGAAAGCCAATACATGGTGCTGTATCTGAGGACACTTACCCATCTTGTCAGCTAAAAGACAGTGAAAATGAAATGAATAAAAGGAAGTTTCCAATGCTAGCATAAAGCTAAGCTCATGACTGCTTCCTCAATTTACACCACATGATAAAAACCACTGTCTACAGTGTCAGCAATGATAGCAACAGAACTCAAAAAGTATTGTCCATTTTTTTTCTCTCGACCATTCCAACAGCCAACAGCAAGAGACTCAACTCAAAGCCATATAAATGATGCTATTAATTATGAAAATTGAAGGCAATCTCAGGCCATGACACATCTAATGTCCTTCCTACTATCAGCAAGAAAAAGACCCCTTCTCTCCTCTTGCTCATGTCTGTGACTTGATCTATGGGACAACACGACTATTTGTGATAACACACAGAAGCTAACACTGGCACACACGTACACGCACCCCTGCTAGAAGCAAGTCGTGCTGGGTTTTATATGAACCTGCACTGTATTTACTTACCCCCCTGTCTTACTTCCTGGGTGGAAGGTTTAATTAATACTTTACCCAGAAACAATTCACATAAGAAATAGCTTTATTGGGAGTAAAAGTCAAAACAGAAATCTGCTCTTCCTGTGAATGGCAGTTTTCTTACTGTAGTTTCTTTCTCTTCAATGAAAACCTCGCCCTCCTCCTTTCTGTCCAAATGATGAATGTGGAGTGAATAAAATAATCCACAAGGAACAAAAGTTGGAAAACATCCTCTCATTACCTCTTCTTCTCTCTTTATCTAAGATGCTCAGTGGACACCTGAATTCCAGAGTACAAGTGAAAGCAGGCCCTCGTCCCCTGAGCAAACCGTACAGTTATGTCACACCTGCTGCATCCTTCTTTTCATCAGGTTAACAGCCAGGATGCTAGACAGAAGTTGCAATGTGCATGGTCTGCCCCACCTCCAGCACCCCGACAGAACCCACACCCCACTTCCCACAGACCGTGCTCTCCCCAGACCTTACCCTGCCCAGGTGGTCCTGAAGCAGCGTCTGTTGCAGCACTGGGGCCACCTCCTCCAAGCTCAACACGTGGCAAAGCTCGGTGAGCTCCTCCTGCCCCAGAGACCCGGTGCCCGTCGTGTCAAAACTGTCAAACAGCTCCTTGAGTCGGGCCTCATGCTGGTCCTGCTCCGCCTCATCCATCCCATAGCCCACAGCGCTCACCTGTGCAGGACAGAGACAAGGACAGGTTGTGGCAGCCCCTTAAAGCCTACCGTGGTCACCCCAGGCACCCTCAGCTCCCTCGCACCCCACCAGCCCCTTGGGATTGGTCTCTATGTCACACTCTGTTTCTGGTACACCCAGGGCAAGACCGCGGGTCTCTCCCCGAGCCAGCCCGGGCCAGCGGAGCTCCCACACGCACCCACGCCAGAGACACACCCACGCCAGAGACGCATCCACAAGGTCGCTTACACTGGGGGTGACGTGACCAGAATGAGGGGGTTGCGAAGGCAGGAAGATACCTTTGTCTTCTGCCTGGTCCCGGGGCGGATGGCCAGATTGCCACACTCAAAGCTGACAGCAGTTCTCTATTGGCTCTTCTGGCCCAGGACGTAAAGAAGGTGAAAAGCCACTTTTGACAGCCAGATCATTCAAATGAACTAATTGTTAGTGCCAAAAACTCGGGCGAGTCAGCGAGCTCCAGACCTCCTGTCCAGATGTTGCAATCTGCCGGTGTGGCCAAGCTGATTAGTTCTACTTTGTTCAGCTTAGATGCCTCCCACAGTAGTTAGACCAGAAACTACAGCAAGAAGCAGTGGATGAACTCATCCGCTACAAAACCACCTCCCTGTTTACAAGAGACCAAATGCCTTTTACTCCAGTTCCTCAAAAAGCAACTCAATTAACTTGGTTGGTGCAATTAGATGAAGTGTGACAGGAAGAGTATTCCCTGAAGCTCACGTTAGTCCCAGGGAGTTTTAGATAATGCTTAGTTGCCTAGAGAAAGGGGAAAACACTACTCCAACCTTTCAGACGGTGAGGTTTGAAAGAGACACCAACTGGCTTATACGAATCATACAGCAACTCAGGGCGCCTCCGCTGTCTGTAGCATCTTACCTCTTTATGCCTGGTTAATCCATCTTCCATCTCTCTGACCTACCCATACCCCAGGCTTTCCATTTTGCCACATTCCTTAGGATCAGTCAAAACTTGGAGTCATCAGTAACTTTCAGAGTTATTTTTGCTAAAAATACACATCATAAAATTCCAGATACCTTGAACTTTAAGAACAAAATCTAGGTTTTTTTTACTTGCATGATAATTCATCTTTATTGTGCTGGATCTTCCAATGAAAGCCTGAAGCCTGGACGTCTGAACGTGCTTTCATCATGATGCAATGGAGGCCAAACACAACATATACCCTTGAGACCATGACCTCATCCGTCTGCAACAAAGCTCTCAGAACCAGCCCCTTGGCTATAAAAAAGCAGCACCTTGCACTAACCAAACACCTTTAACAAGGCAAGTTAGGGAAAACTCTCTAATTTAGAGGCGATATTCCACAAAGCAGATCGCTACAACATGGCAAGCACGTAAGCTAAGATGTCGAACATGGCCAGAAATGAAAATCAAAGGCTTTCTATAACAAAGCAGTGCTGCTCTAGAGCGTAATCGCCTCCTTTCCGTGGACAGCTGTTCCACATGTGACAAGCTAGAACAGAGCCACAATCTTCCCAAGGGTTTCAGCAGAACTAAGTGGACTCAGAAGACGAATGTGAACAGCTCTGCCACACAGCTCAATTTTTACCAGGGCCACCCATTAAAGTGACATGGCACAGTTTTGGTCCAGGCTCTTGGTCTTGGACAGGTCTCCTAATTATCAGTTTTTCTATTACTAAGGTACTGCTTGCTGGCTCTGGCTGTCTTCCCAGGGTTGGTCTGTTGGGTTAACTAATTGCTATGTAAATGTTTTCAAAATAAGTCGAGAGTGCTATATAAACATCAAAGCATCAATAAAGAAACACCAAGGTGTTATGAAAAGCCACAAGAGCTAAGAATTAAGACAAGGCTAAGGGTTGGCTAATGAGATTCACTTAGAGTTGACCAGTTAATTGTCAACTAAGATCTGCTGAGAATCCCCAAGGTGCTCTGGGATTTGCAGTGTTGCCACAGCTCTCAGACTCACTCTGACTTTTATGGTCCCTTCTGACCAACTTTATAACGTCAGACTACTCTGCTTTTGCTCGGTTTTGCATATATATTTAAAAATGCAAAAGCATTCTAAGACTTCCCTTTTTTAAGATTAGTTTTAATGGAAGGGGATTTGCCCATCTAAACCAACAGAAGAGAGCAATAAAACAATGTACTGAGAATTCCTGATCTTATCTGCTGCTCCAAATTTGATAAACTCTCATACCCCACCCTTTGGGAGGTCACTGGATTTTCACCAAATCAAATCTCTTTCATTTTATAGCAGTTTTCCTTCTTAAAACTCTCCTTTATCTCCCTCCTTCTCCAGACACTGTGCTTAGAAAAACATTTGACTGGAGGAGGGTGGGGGGGGGGAAGCCCCAACCCTGTGGAACAAATGCTCATACTGAAACATCCAGGAGATGTTACACATGGTGACAAGTTGTCAGTACTCATCTGGCACAGAATGCATTTTTACTGGTTAATATTATTCCCCAAATGTTCATCAGTAATTTCATGTGCAGGAATTTTTTTTCCCTCCCTACTTGGCAGAAATTTCTTTAAGGGAAAGATCCACCACGTTTTTTGTTTTTGTTTTTTTTTATCTTCCCCCAAATGCATAGTACAGTTAGTCTGTTCTTCACACCACGACTCAGTAACTATCATGGACTTTGTATATGGATATTTTGGGGAGGAAACTTACCCCAAATGAGGGCTATAGAAAAGAGCATATGAAAATCATTTAGTACCTATTTTTTCCACATACACCTTGCCACTTTCCCCATCCTGCCCTTTCCCAAAGGCATCTTCAGTCTCAGAAATAACCAACAGAGGTAGAAAACCAACACCGACTGCCAGACTGCACTGTGTAGAGCTATCTGAAGTTTACTTCAATGGGCTAGGAATTAACTCAATGGATTCACAAACTTCAGCTGCAAGTCTTTGTTACAGGATGAAACTTTGGAGGAGACTGTGTACTAAAACATTTTCTCAGTGCCCTCGATTATAGGACGAGAAAAACAATGCCCATCTGGAAGAGTATCTCTGAGGGTTAAATGTGACAAGCAAGTGAGATTGGCTAATCCCAGAGAAAGTTAATACAAGAGGGGAATTGAGAAAACCACCAAGAGAGAATACCTGCGGTTTACAAAGCAGGGGTGAACCAAGGAGTGGGTAGCTTAAACAAGCCAATCAGACATAGATCTATCTTCAAAGAAGCAAAGCAGGAGAATGACAGAGAACAGAAAGCAAGAATGGGCAGGGAATATACTATGTACATAAACATCATTATATTACTAAATGACAATGGCAGCAAGTAATGTAAGAGCTTCCTTGATCTTTAGGGGCAGACAATAGATAAATTTAATGTCAAATAAAAGCAAAAAGGATGGAGTGTAGCCGGGAATTCAGAAGAAATGATTTTTTAAACTATGAGTTCAGCTTATATTAAACATGTTGTGCATATCATCTCATTTAGTCTTCCCAATTATTTGAAGTAGATATCACTTTCACATTCGAAATGTAGATATTGGGGGTTGGCAAAATTAAACATTTTTAATATGGGGGTGGAGCCAAGATTTGAACTCTAGTGTGACTCTAAATTATACTGTCTCAATCCTACACATGCACACAGAACAGATGAACGGGACCACTGAGATGACACCATTGGCAAACCACTTGGCTCCAATTTTATGTGTTAGTCAGCCGAACAGTACTGAGTGTTAGAAGCTACCAAGGAATACTCCTTGGCCACAATCTTTTCCAAATTGGAATTGGGAGCGTGGGGTTCTTTCTCCTCATCTCCCTTAACCCATTTATCATCTACTGAATGATTATAGCCTACAAGGCACTAGGGATACACAGACAGAATAAGCATTCTCTTTTTTTCTAAAGCACCTTTGGGATTTAGAGAATGGAAGAAATAATTTTTTATATAAAAATGATCATGAAGAGTCCCATATCTTCAATAACAGGTGTTGCCTAGGAACTGATAATTGTTAAATTACTTCTCTAAAATAAATACATGTCTAATCTGTGCAATCCAGTGCTTTCCAGAGTTAAACCCTAACTGGTACCCACCACTGGTAGGAATCTTATCAATTTAAAATGTTGAGTTTTGAGTGATAAGCCCTCCTTCAAACCAGAAAGAACAATTCTAGTTTTATGAAGGCTGCCATAAGCCTGGGTCTCTCCTCACCATCTCCCTTCCCAAACTGTTAGAAGGCTTTATGACTCCTTTGGAATGAAAAGGCCAGTGTGGGCAATATTTAGGAGTTCTAACTAGGGATGGTTAAATAAGGGGCAGATGCACAGAGCCATTAATCAAAACATTTACCACCCAATAACCACCCATAATGAGAATTATTCGCAGCATTTTCCTTCCAAATAACTCAAAACACGGCTGCCAAAGGCTGCAGACCTTGATAGAGATGTCCATTACCCCAGCTGATGAAATCATAGTGCCAAGTGAGACTGTGAAAGAACTGATGGAGGTGCGGCTGGAATGATGAAGAGGATATGTGAATTTATGTACTTTCCAGTGTTCAACCAAGGAACAGAAAGGAGCTTGTAAGAATGGCACCCCAGCCAAAGGGGAGGTCTGTTCTGGCTTGGAGGGAGTGAAAAGGGGACTAAGTCTGGCAAATGAAAACCAAATAACAAACAAGCACAATGCCAGAGCCCCTAGCCCAGGCCTTTTATTTCCCTTCCAGATGGTCCAGCAGCTGAACAGCTCCTTAGACTGTCTGATGCCCCTCTCGCTGCATCACTTTCCTTAAGAGGGCAACGTAATAGATACTTTCGGACCTGTGTTCACACATAGCTCTTGGGGGTTCACAGACCAGGCAGTGACCACCAAGCGACTCATTTAGTTACTCGAGAGCCGAAGGGATAAAGACCAATAAACCCTGCTTTGGCAAAGCTTTCCATTCAATGCCTTTAGCTTTCCCTGACTGGCAACTCAGAGCCTAATAATGTCAACGATCAAATGAAAGTGTTTCTTTTTCTTTTCTGCAAATACTTTAATCTGCTGCAAAGATTTCCAGGCTTACCATTTTGGACTAATTTCAGTACAAAAAGAAATAGTGACAAGAATAAATTCAAGTTTAGCAAAAGCTCAACAGAAAAAAGCAGTTGCTGCCATTTAGGAGTTTATAGGAAGAATACTCCTGCCAAAACTCATCACTGCTCAGCAGCGAACTGATTATTGTCAGATACCTCCTCTCTGCTCAGACAGCACCTCACTCTGGCTGAATACCAAAAGCACAACAGTATCGCTGTAAATAAAACTGTGGATCAAAAATATAATATAAAATCTTAAATGCCATTGCACAGGAAAAAAAAGTTAGATTAAATAAATTTGAAAGAAAATATCAACCTTTGCTGACTACACTGTAAAATTTAATTTAACTAAGGGTAACCTACTAATATTTATTCTATAATGTAAACAAGTATTTAGTATTTTACTATCCTGGGATATAGCAAATCCAGGCTTTTGTTACACCTAATAGCAGGTGGATCACTCAATCAAGTAGTTAACTCATGGCAGCTGGAGGGGGGAAAACCCATTAGCCTAGCACAATGCACATTCTAGCCTGTAATCAATTACTAAGTAAAATTACAAAAGCAGAAAACATAGCTGTATATTTGTTACTTTTTCTTAAAAGGGAAAGCTTGTAACAATGTTACTTTTTCTTAAAAGAGAAAGCTTGTAACAATGTTACTTTTTCTTAAAAGAGAAAGCTAAAAACTTTTACTTCTTGAGCCATATTTACTCAAATTAATTTAGGATGACTGAAGATATGAATGCAGTTCCCTGGGGTATAAGAGCTGTTCTTCTTACATCTATAAACAATATTTTCTCAACTTTTAAAAAAGTGAGCATTAGGATATTGATGCTTTGTAATTTTTCCATCCAAAAGCTTCAATAAACGGTCAATTGCTGATATAAATTGCACTAAAGAAGTGAACTAATCCCATAATCTTTTCAAAATTCTATTTTATTTGTAAATAGGATAAAAATGTCTTTTTTATCCTATTTAGAGAGACAAGCTTCAATAATCTCTCCGTAAGTCCCTCCCCAACAGATGCAAGTTCAATAGCCAGAATTCAAACCACATTATTTATTGGCTTACAAATGAACTGGTATCTATAAATATAAACCCCCCTGAAAAGGCTTTCTGCTGTTTGAATCCCTCTAAAATGCTCTGGCTAAACTTGCCAACCCCTTATCAATGTAAGACTGACAAAAATGTATTTTCATTATCAGTATAAAAAGGAAGCATCAAGCCTGGGGAAATGTTAGTTTAGAAAGTCATTTGCAGTGACATTTAAAACAATTTATTTGAACATTTGACTCAAGATAAGAATACTGCCTATTAAATTAAGATTGGCTGTTCAGAATTCATTGGAGCCCTATTCCCTTCTGTGACAGTTAACATCTGTTTGATATTAAGGGTCATTACATATCTAAAATGAAAAAGGAATAAGAAAAAAGAAGCCACACCATTCTGAGCAAGTGCCTATTAAAATGACCGATCCTTGACATTTTAATGCAAAAACTGTGCTATGATGGCTTCCTCCCCGTTGCCCCCTGTAAAGTCTTTCCCTCAGTTGGCAATATCTTTGCTGATGTCCGATCCCTTTGCAACACTGGGAAGTCCCACTCTTTATCTACACTGCTGGTCAAAATGCTTCCCTGTAAAGGCTGGGGAGAGAACAGGTGAAAGTAAACAAATCTGCAAACAAACTCCCTGGCCGTTCACATCACCTCACTGAGGAAACTGTCAACAGCTGACCAGACCACAACACAGAAACTCATTTTTTTATTCCAGCCGGTCTGTAATGCTACTCTTATACACACCCTGGGAATTTTCACAGCTCCCATCCACTCCAGAGCAAGATCCACCAATATTCCAGGGCAGCCACCTACATAATATGCTCATCACCAGAGAAGACTCAAGATAAAATTAAGCTGACAGAACAAGTGCGCTTTCTCACAGCCTTTTCCCAAGCCTCGGGAAGCGTGTCAGCTGATGTAAATTTGTGTTACGGTATTTAAGGGACCTAGTTGAGCGACCACTGATGGTCCCAGGAGTTCAGCTCATGTGCTGTGATGAACTTTATCAGGATTCTTATCCTCCAAAGCTACCCTGGCTGTCACAAAAGACATCTATGAAATCTGTTTCGGTTTCATAAATTCAGGAGTTGAGCTGTATGGCAAGCTCATCTCAGGAATGCCTCAACACCAGGAGAGGATCTGTCCCAGACAAGTGAAGAAAGCAGATCTCATAATATCGTAGGTGTCTAGAAACATGATCTACGGTAGGACAGACTTTCCAGCTCCCATTTTATTTGTACCTTAACCCTGGGTTGTCAGGGCTGGGGCTAGGAAAAACACCTCTTCCTGTCTCTCTCTCTTGTAATTTCACAGAAAGAGCTATAAGTGGGGATTGTTTCCTTGATCAACGGTGTCTTTTTGTCAGGGGCCAGTTTGGCAACTTCAGAAGCCCAGCCCCTGGAACCTTCCTTCTCCGGCCCTCCACATTCCCATTCCGCTGGTCTGGCGATGAGGGCTTTTGGGCGATACCCGAGTGTCATTTTGCTCTTTCCCCGTCCTCAGTAGCTGCACCGGGAAAGCCTGTCCGCACGCACTGATCCCGCGCCCTTTCCGGGCTTCAGACGGCTCTCCGCTACTCAGCCCAGGCTGACACCTCGGCTTTCCCCGCGCAGCTCTCCTCCGCTCCTCAATCACAAGGCTGTCTGGGTGGGTGGCACCAGCCAACAGAACAACCACCTTTTCTGCTCCCTCTGCGACTCAAGTTCGCCCCTGGCGCAGCATACAGTAGCGGCTTTCAGCTCGGGGCTGCCGGCGGGGGCCCCGGGAGTGGCGGAGGTGCCGGGACCCGCGGCGCCGCCGGGCCGGGAGGCGGAGGTGCGGCCCAGGTCCCTGCAACCTGCGACGCGTCCCCGACCCGCCTGCCCACCATCGCCACCGCCAGAAACCTCAGACGCCCCATTGTGTCCCCAGGCAGCATCTCCAGGGCCCCCGCCGCCCGCGCCTACCTTCTGTCGGCCTCTCGGAGCGCCCGCGCAGCCGGCCGCCCGCCTCCGGAGCTCTGCGGAGCGGAGGAGGACGCTTTGTTAGGGCAGGAGCCGCGGGACAATACTTCGCCGCCGGCGCCGCGGTTCCGGGCGGGCGTCCTTCAAAAGGACGCGAATGGGGCTCCGCGCGAGCGTCATTTCCATATGTAAGGGGCAGCTCTTACAAAAGCGCGGCTCTCGGGGGCCGCGGGCTGCAGCGCGCATCCCGCCGCCGCGCCCGCGTCCCGCGCGCCCGCCCCGGCCGCCCCTCCCGCCCCGTGCCCGCTGCGCCCCGCGGCCGCCGCTTCCTCCCCGCCCGCGGGGATTGCGCGCGCCCCGGCCCCCGGCCCGGAAGGGGAAGCCCCGGCGCGTCCCGGTGCCCGGTCGTCCCCGGCCACCTCCAGGCCGCGGGTTGGGGTCCCGGGGGTCGGGCTCACTCACCGCGTCCCGGGGCTCAGGCGCCGGGCGCCGTCGCGGGAACCATGGCCGCTGGCGCACTCCCGGCTCGGCGGCGGCGGCGGCGGGACGGCCGCGCCCAGCGCGCTCGGCTCCCGGCTCGGCCGCGGCCACCCGGAGCTCTGGACGCCGGGGAGGAAGGGCCGGGCCCGCGCGGGGAGGAGGAGCCAGGGCGACGCGGGCCGGGCGCGGCTCCTCCTCTGCGGCCCGCGCGGCTCCTGCAGCTGAGGGAGGAGCGGGAGGCGCCGCCCGGGCCCTGGCGGATGCGCCCTCCCCGCCGAGCCCTGCTCGGAGATTCGAACTTGGAGACGCAAGGGCTCGGGGTGCGGGCGTAGGAGACCAGTGTCCCGAGGTCGCCGCCGGGCGGGGGCTGTCGCGTCCACCACTCGGCCCCTTGCCAATGCGCCCGCACGAACCCGGCACCCTGGACCCCCACCCGCAAGGGCGCTGCGCAGAGGAGAGGCCCCCGCCTCCACCAGCGGGACCTTAAGATCGGGATTCGGGAGCCTCTTTTGCTCCCAGCTGGCCCCGAGGTTCCCAGCCCTCGGGTGCCGGTTGGCGGTCATTGGAGGGCAAGTCCAGTGGGGGGGAGGGCTCTAAACTTGACTCTGAACCCTCTGGCGTCGGTGCGACCCTTCTACCAGGTCTAGACTGGCTTCCGCACCTGCCCACCGCGTCCTCATAGGCTCCCGCCCCCTGCGCAGCCTTCCGAGGGTACAACCAACCCTCGGTCACACGCCACACGGGACGGAAACTCCTTGGAGTTGGTGGTTCTCGGGCCAACGGTTGCTCGGTGTTTACTGCCTCCTCCTACCCCCACTCCACAGCTCCCCTAAGTCTCCGCTTTCTTACTCGCCATCCCTGTACTTGTCATCTCAATGCAGTCCAACGGGATCCCTCGGCCAGGCCTAGAGGCGGTGGCAGCTTTGGGGCTGAAGGGCTTCGCCTGATTTATTACAACTCACAAGTCTGGTTATTTTAGCAAGAAACTGGGGATAAGTCCCGTGCTACTGAGAGAACAAGCAGTAGACAAGAAGGAAACGAGCATTCAGTGAGAATCCAGTGTGCTGGAAATGACAGAAATTATCATCCCCAATCCTTACACCACCCTTCGGAGGGAGGCAGACCTATACCCATTTGCAAATGAGGAAACAATCTCCCAGAAGTTAAAGACCTTGCTCAGGATCACACAGCAAGGGCTGGTCAGAGCTGAGATTCAAAAGCAGATCACAAATGCGGCGAAATTGTATAGAACTAAATAACACACACAATAGAGAGCATGTAAAACTGGTGAAATTTGAATAAGGTTTGGACTTCATTATTGTCAGTTTCCTGATTGTGATGTAGCACTAGAGTTATGCAAAATATTACCATTGAGAAAAAATTGGTGAAGTGTCTATAGGGGGTCTCTCTATTATTTCTTACAATTTCATGTGAATCTACAGTTATCTAAAAATTTTTAAAAAAATTTAAAGCAAACCAGTCTTATTTTAAAACCCAAGCTCTCTTCCTTCAACACAGTGTGCCTGGAGAATAAGAAACAGGAGAGGTTCATGCTCCTCTCTCCTTTCTTAATGCTCTTGGATAAGTACACACACACTCATGTACTGTGCACATGGTTGTCAGTCCAGTAATAATTACATAACACACACACAATCATTGAGAGGATGGCTAACCCGTCACCAGGATTCTTACATAGGTGTCGTCTTATAGATAAAAGAATAATGCTCACTGTATACTAAAATAGCCAACAGTCTTGGAAGGTAAAAATGAAGAGGTGTCTTCCTTGTTTCATCTAAT